GGGGCAGCACAGAGGAGGCTCCGGGCACCCGGGGCCTCAGGGCCCCCACGCCAGGAGCCTGGGCCAGGCTGGGTCCCCAGAGCAACAGAGAGCTTGTCTCCACATGCAGAGGTGCCTGACTCTGGCATCTTCCCAAGCAGCGCCCACCTCCTGCGCACGTGTCCCAGGTCTCGGCAACTCGGGGCGCAGGGACAGGGGCGCGGGGGGCTCTGTCCTCAGAACTGGGCCCCCTCCCCACTTGGTCCTCGGCTGCTTCCTCCGGGCGGCCTCCCAGGTGGCCCACTGGGCCTTGGGACCTGCTCTCCTGACTAACTCGCTGGAGGCTCCTCCCCACCGTCCACTTCCACGTGGGAGTGGCGGCCCGTGGCCGCCTGTGGCCACGGAGATGAGGTGGGGTACTTCTTCCCCCTCTCACGGGCGCAGGAAGGGCGCCGCTGACGTGACGTGCCAGCTTAGGGCCAAACTCCCCGTACTGCGTCCTGACCACCCAGGGGTGGGGGGCTCTGCTTGCCCCTTGGAGGATGCCACGGAGTCGGCTCCTCGAGCGGGCGGCCGGCTGGGACTCGGCTCCGTGCGCCCCGAAGGGGATCCCCCCACAGTAGGAGGGAGGGCTGCGTGGGGCTCGCTGCAGACGGCAGGCAGGCTGAGGCTCCCGGAGCCGACCTTGAGCTGCACACCTTCCCTGAGGAGGGGGCGTCCTTTCCCTCCGTCTGCGCACCTGCCCCCTTCTGGGGGCCTGAGGACACCTCCCTTCTGCACCTGGGAGAAATGCGCCCCCAGGCCAGGAAGGCCTGCCCCGCCCCTGCTGGGGTCTCGGTCCCCGGGGGGGCCGCCTGGCTGGGCAGCAGGAGAGGGTGGGGCCCCGGCACGGTCAGCTGTGTGTGCCGCCCCTGCCAGCCACAGCCCTACCCCCTGTGGCCCACCTGCCCACAACAGCTGTCACCAGAGAAGAGGCGCCAGGAGAGGCGGGAAGGGGTGCGGGGGGAGGGGACTCTGCCGGGTGAGATGCTGGGAGGAGGGGTGGGGGAGGCGAGCCACCGGGCCTAGGCTGGCCACGGGCCAACTCCCCCTTTCACGCATCATCAGAGCTGAGAAGCCCCCCCCCCCCAAGAGCCTGGCCTGCATTTTGACACAGGGACTCAGAGGAGACTCGCAGGCCCTCAGCCCAGGCTTCACGATGGAGGGCTTCATCCTGTCTGCGCCCCCCGCCCCGACCGTGGGAGCCTCCAGGGCCAGTGCAGACCCTACAAGACTGCCCCTCCGCCAGGCCAGCCCACCGCCCTCCCGAGTCCCCGCGGAGCCAAGGCCCGGGGAGACTTTTCTCTGCTCTCCCTCTCGGGATGTGGCAGGCCCTGGCTGAGAGCTCCTGGCACTGGGGGGGGGGCCTGAGGGGGAGGCACGTGGGGCAGGCAGGCGTGGCAAGAACCCAAGGCCACCACCAGGGCAAGGCCTTGGCCCACAGGGGCCCGGAGGAGGGCAAGGGGCGACAGAGGCCCTGGGGCGTCGGGTCCTCGCTGGGGGAGCAGTGCTCTTGGACCTGGGGCCTCGCCCCTGCCTCCGCCACCCCACATCCAGCTTCGTCACATGCGGCCTGAGGCCAGGCACCACCCTCGACCTTGCGACCCCCGCTGGACGTACAGACAAGGAAACTGAGGCCCCTGTGTGCGTCACCTGGCAGAAAAGGGGCAGGGATGGGGTGCATCCGGGGGCCTCACTCGTGCCACGTCAGCCGTGTGGACAGGTGGGACCTCGAGCTCACCGTCCCGCCAAGAATCTGTGCTCGGGACTCCTCCGAGGCCCGCCCGTGGGGGCCTGTCCTCTTTACTGCCGGACCGGGTGGCAGGGAGGTCCGAGGACGATGAGCCGTCCTTCCCGCAGGGCTGGGCCCACACCTGTCATCTCAGCTCCCCGGGCAGGGACACGGAGGCTGAGTCGTGGGGGACGTGAACCCGGGACAGACTGGCTCTTCGGGCGGGCCCTCATCCACTCTGCCTGTCCCCACTGGCCATTGACGCGCCGGGTAAGGGCATCCCGTGGGCCTGCAGTGGCCTCTCTTCTGACGGTGGAGGGGGCGCCACTCAGGAGGCGTCCCGTCCTGAGGGAAGGAATCTGCCGATTGCCCGGCAAACAGCGGAGGCGCCCGAGGCCCCAGACGGCGGAAAGCGCCTGGAGGACGGACGTCCCCCACTCAAGGACTGCACCTGTCTAGGCTCTGCCTTGTTTCGGGACCAGCCCCAGGACTGGGGGCCGGTCCGTCAGCACAGAGGCCACCAGCTCGGCGGCGGCGGGGGGCGCGACGCGCGAGCTTTTACACCAGCCTCCGGCTGAGTCACGACTACTGCGCTGGCCAGGCCTGGGTGACTGGCTCCAGGGCCTGGCCTGGGAACTCTCTCATCTAAGGTCACCAGGCTGGGGCTACCGCCTCCCCCTGAGCGGGCAGGTGGGGAGGGAGCCGGGCCCTCCTGGACGCCAGGCGGGACTCAACACCAGCACTGCGCCCTGGACACATCGGGTAGGGGCCCTGCGGCCAGGCGGCCAGGCACCCCCTCTGCCCCGGCTGCTGGGCCTCCTCCGTTGGGTTGCGTCGGCCACCAGAGGGTGAAGGGGAGCCTGAGGCAAGCTCTCTGCACGGTGCCCGCCCCAGACCAGCGGCCGCTCCCACGACGGGGCCGGGCAGGGGTCAGGATGAGGCCGAGGCTGGCCAGGTGGTCAGGGAACCCCTCCTCTGTGGCCGGAGCTCAGCACGCAGGTATTTCTGCGTGACGTCTGCTAAGAGGCGCATCCCCTCTGTTCCCAGCCCAGACGTGCTCAGCGCCGGGCACGCTCCCGGGCGGACTGGGGGAGCGCACCCCACCCCTCAGGAGCCCAGAGCTGCTGCCTCTGCCTGTTGGAGAGCAGACCCCCCCCACCCGCTCCTGCCGCTGCTGGGGTCTCCAGGCTCCTCTGCCCTCCATGGCATGAGCGGGGCTGCTTCCCAAACGCAGGAGGCAGACCTCTTAGGAGACTATTCTAGGGTCCTCTGCCCCTGGAGCCCCCGCCCCTGCCCAGAGTGGACGTAGCCAGCACCTGGCGGTTGGCTATTGTATTGTCACGGAAGCGCCTGACGGCGAGGCGGCCACTCGGCAGACCCCCGTCTGGAGTAAACGTGCGGCCGGCTGCCCAGCCAGAGGAAGGGCCGGGCCGCCCCTGCCAGGCAGCTCCCCCGTTAGAAAGCCCTCAGTGTTCTAGAAACTGACCTCGCGTGACCCTGCTTTTCCCCTCCTGGGCTTTAAATCCGCTTGTATGTTTTAAATTCACTAATAAAGAGTGAGCCCCTGAAAGCCAGGCCCCACCCCCAGCCCCATAAAGGCAAAACCTCCCTACGCTGCCTGATTTTCTCTCTCCCGGGGTGTGGCCCTGGCCCGCCTTGAACCTTCCAGCCCTGAGAGCGATGGCAAGGCTCCTGCTGTGTACAGAGAAGGGCGGGTCCAGCCACAGCACTGGCGCCTGGGGAGATGCCTGGGGGCCGCCCCCAGGTGGGTGCCCCGGGCTCGGCCAGCCGGCGGCACCACTTCTGCTCTGCTGGGGAGGACACTGAGGTCCGGGGGCAGGTGTCCTGGGAGGCAGAGGTCAGGACCCTCGGCCCCTGGGGGAAGGTGCTGGTGGGGGCAGGACAGAGTTTGCACCTTTGCATCCTGGTCCAGGATGACACCACCCCGGCCCATCGAGGCCAACCCTTTCCCACCATCTGTCTCGGTTTGCCCACCTGTAAAATGGGAACAAACAGGTGCTGAAGGCAGGTGGGCTGCTTTCACTGTAATGGTTCCCTGAGTGAGCAGGAGGCCGGGCCGGGCAGTCAGAGTTCTCAGATCCAGCGTGAAAGGTTCCTCAGAGGAACGGACGTCACAGGGGCCCCCTGCCTGCCGAACCCCCACTGCCCGGCTGCCCCTGCCCAAGTCCCGTGTGGGCCAGCCCCGGGTCTTCGATCGACACAACAGAGGACACGGGGACCCTCCTGCCCCCCGCCCCCAGCTTCGCCGTGGCTTGTTCACAAGCTCACTGGAGCCCACATGGTCCTCGCTGTCTGCCGGATGCTCACAGCACCTCAGACGGGGTGTGCGGGGCTGAGCGGCTCCAGCTTCTGGACGGGGGGGGGGCTTTAGGGAAAGGGGGCCGGGCCCTCCGCGCCTCCAGCCTTCCCAGCACTGCCTCCTTCCCGGGCCCCGGCTCCTGACACGGACCGCTGGGCCGCGGCGAGGCCAGGGGCCCGCACAGCTGCCGCCCGGGGAAGCGGCCGCCTGGGGGCTGGAGGCAGCCGGCATTCCTAGGTCTCCCTGGGGCAGGGGGCCTTACACCCCCGTCTCGCATTCCGCCCGCCCGCAACCTCCCTCTGGCGCAGCAGCGCCCTGCAGCGGGTGCCCAGGGAGAGGAGCAGGGGCGTGGCCAGCACCCAGGCAGCACAGCCCCGCCTTCGTGCCAAGAGGAACGCAAGGGTGGCAGACCTGAGACATGGCAGCAGGGTGTCGGGGCCTCGGCGGCCCCTCCACGCCCCGGCCAGCGCCCCTCCTCTGGAAGTAGGACCTCAGTCTTCCCCATTGCTCAGGCCCTGTGGCGGGAGGGGCCCCTGCTCACGGGCCCCAGGCTGCTCAGAGGCACACGTGTGGCTCAGAGCAGTCCCCCCGACGGGGACGGAGCCGCCGCTGGAGCCTGGTACCGATCCGCAGGGACTAGCGGCTGCCCAAGAACAAACCCTCGTGGAGAAAGCAGGGCAAGAGACACGGAGGCAGCTGTTGCAACACCTGGATCCAGCCATGCCTGAATCCATTCCTACCCTTGGACTAACAGTTTCATGAGCTGATACATTTTGTATTTTGTAACTGAAATGTCCTGACAAACCTACGGAGGAGGCTGTACACCTGAGTGCAGTTTCCCTCGGACTCTGCTCTGCAAGCTCCTAAGGCAGGACAGTCCGCACTCACCGCCCCCACCCTAAGACCCCCGCGGACGGCAGCCCCACTCACCATGACGGGCGTGGTCATGCCCTGCAGATCGAAGACGTCCATGCCGGCCTCCGTGCCGCTCACCACCTCGCTGCTTCCCTGGCTTGGCTGGGGAAGGTCGAAGTAGGTGCTGTCTGGTTCCCTGGGAAGAGGGGGCAGAGCCATCAGCTCCAGAGCGCCCAGGCCGAGGGCTCCTGAGCTAAGCCTCAGCCCATGATCTGCCTCCTTTGCTTCTTCCCCCCAACCCTCGGCTCCCGCCCCCTCCCTCCTCTGCCGGCCTCGCCAGGGCTAGTGTCCACGCCCGGCAGGCGTGGCCACATGTGAGCTCTGTCCCCTGGACCTCTCCTGGCCCGGGGGTGCTGGTCGGAGGAACGAGCCCAGACTTCGGGCCCCACACCCCCAGGAGGAAGCCCCCCTCACCCTGCCCTGCCCGGGGCTGGCCCGGGGCGGCCGGAGACGGTACTCACAAGGAGCTCCACAGGTGCTCGAACGTGGCCCCCTCATCGGCGGCAGCGGGGGGCTGGGACATCTTCCCCTCACCCGGCCCGGAGGGCAGCTGGCTCTGCGGGGAGGGAAGGACAGTGGGTGCTGAGGGAAGGCCGGCCTCCGCCCTCCTGCAGCCTCCTGGGGGGCCGACGTGGGGCACCCCTTCACACCCCCATCCGTCCTCCCCTTTCCAGGGGCGGGTCTAGCCTTGCAGACGAGTGGGCCTGACCCCAGACCCAGGTTGGGGGTGGTGGTGCCTGGGTCGGCAGGGGCTTCTCAGAGCCACCACCTCCCAGGTGGGGGTGACATCGGGGCCGCGGGGCCTGTGGGAGCTCGGGAGTAAACAGGTGCTGCGTGCGGGGCCTGTGCCCAGATCACAGCAAACACCCCAACAGCTGTGGTCCCCATCATTATGAGCTCCGTCTCCGGGTTTGGGCTTCGGGGCTCAAGCCGGGCTTGGGGACTCCTGACGCCCCAGGACACGAGGATGGTTCAGGCCCCGGGTCACTCCCTCCTGGGAGGGCGTGTGCCGTCCACCTCGGAGACAGGGTCCTCCCCACGGCCTGGACACAAAAGCAATTCGGATCCCACGAGGCGACCCAAGGCCAATGCTGTGAAGCGGTCACGGCAGCAGAATCACTGCCTGGTGGCCCCCCCCCCCCCCGCCACAGGAGATGCGCAGACACACTGGCCTTTGTCCCCAGGGTCTCCTCTCCCGGCAGCCTCCATGCCCAGCCCCCACCCGCCATGGCCTTGCCCAGGCCAGGACCACTGGGGCCCCTGTCCTCCGGGGGTGGGGAGGGGCAGGGCCACAGAGCGCCCCACGCGCTGCCCACCCAGGCCCAGGTGGTGTCTCCCCTCGGCCTGCCTCCGGGTCCTTGGCACAGGGCCACGGGAATCAGCCTGGCCGTCTGCCTGGCAGTGCCCAAGCGGGCAGGCCCAGACCTGCCCAGAGCCGTCGGGGGAGGGAGGGCACGCCCGCAATCTGTCACTTCGTCCCCAGGTAGGCGGGTGCTGGTGGAGGTCTGTGGCACTCTCCCGGGGCCGCCACGTGCCAGGCCGCTGGTCTCCAGAGCGGTGGCATGAGCAGGGAGGGCCGCCTCAGGGGCTGGGCCCTGGCGAAAGGAGGCCCCAGGGCCAAGGCCGGCCGAACAGGAGGGCCTGGGGCAGCCGCTTAGAAAGCACAGGCCCTGAACCAGCTCTACCACAGGCACCGAGACCATGCGGCCCTCTTTTCAGAAGACAGGCTCAGAGAGGTTAAGCGGCCGGCTGAGGTCGCACAGCACAGCCCTGCGCACAGGGCTGATGGAGTAGTTTCCTCAGAGTCCGGATAAGTTAGCCAACCCTGACTGCACACACACCTTCGGCACACGCTCTGCCCACAAGGGGTTTAACAAGGCTGGGCCGGGCTCACGTGCAAGCTTCCTATTCTGGGGAGGTCACTCCCACCCCCAGCTGAGCCGAGCCATCCAAAGCCCAGCGGAGGTGAGCGTCGGGGGTGGAGCTGGGGATGCGGAGGTCTGCTAGGAGGCAGAAGAGTGCCGCGCTGAGGCTGGGCAGAAGGCCGCCTCCCCTTCCCCGTGGGGGGCGGAGGGGGCACTGGTGTGCGGGTCGTGCGTGCTGACCCGAGGCTCGACTCGTTTTGCAGATGGACCATCCAAGCCCAGAGATGGAAAACACTTGGCTAACGTCACACAGCAAATGGCCGGCAAGACCCTGCAAGGAAGTTCCCCTTCACGGCCACACTAACTGCAGTAAAGATGCCAACGGCCCAAATGTGCAGCACAGACGAATGGACAGACAGACACGGTCCATCCACACAGCGGGGCGTTGCTGGGTCATGAGGAGGCGTGGACACCCGCTGCAGCGTGCGTGAGCCTTGAGAACATCGTGCCGTGTGAGACAAGCCGACACCAAGGACCGTGCGTCACGGGACTCCGCCCACCACGTCCACGGCAGAGGGACGCACAGACTGGGCCCCTCCACGGGGCTCCACGGACGGGGCTCAGAACCCTGCATCTCTACACCCGACCCGAGGTTCACCAGGACTCTGAGACAGACCCTCGAGGAGAGAGCATCCCATAGGCCCGCCCTCACCCGCCCCGCGGGCCCCCCGGGCCCGCCCTCACCTGCCCCCCAGGCCCCCAGTGCCCACTCTGAGGACAGCCACCAGCTCCACTGGCGACTTGCATTCAGGTTCTTCCCTGGCAGAAGCCGGCCCTGCCCTGCTCACCGGGCGCCATGGGGCTGGAGCCAGGAAGCCACGGAGCCCCACGATTTCCAGTTTCCCTGGGAAACTCGCCAGTTGCCCTGAACCCAGGCCACTGACCACGAGTCCACGGAGCTGCAGACCCCGTCCCTGTGGGCGCCTGGGGCTCCTGCCAGGGTGTGAGGAAGGGGGTGTGCGATGTTGGGGCGAGGCTGGGGGCTGCAGAGACGCCGGACCCTGTGGGCCCCCCTCTTCTCTCCACGGGACAGGGTCTTCCCTGTCCCCACGGCAGCATTCCGGCCACGGACAGCACACCAACTCCAAAGCCTCTTCCTGTAAAGCCCCCCCAGCCCCAAAGGCCTGCGTTTTAAATTTGGGAGCATGCTCACGATGGAAACGTGGCTCTCACACCTAATGGAAATTGCTTCTGCAAACGCTGCGACTCATCTTAGAAACTGCACATGTGTGTGTGGGGGGGTGAGTGCCGACGTGAGAAAACGCTCCAGGTCATAAGAGTCATAAAGTGCAGACGCAGCATCTTGGACGGAACGAGCCCCAGGCCGGTCGTGGGCGCCCTGGAGCGGGGGCGTCGTCCTCTCCCACTTTCAACCGCTCAGTGTGACTCACGGGTTTTCTCCCCAGGAGACCTGACATCTACTGATCTTTTCGTTTTCAGTCACTGCTGGGGGGAGTGGAGCTCCCCCCAACATCGTGGGGGGCACGCAGCCCCTCGCAGCGGGGAGCCCGCTGGTCCAAGGTCAGCGCCACGGGGAAGACACGGGCCACGCCCTGCACAGGGCCTGCGTGTTCACATCACCTGTCACACCCCGTCCCACACTTCCCTCCCCGCCTGCTACCCTGTCCCCTCTCTGTCCCTACCTGTCCCCCGTGTCCCCCTCCCTGCCCCCATCCGTCTCCCCTGTCCCCCGCCCCTCCCTCCCTGCTCTGTCCCCTCATGTCCCCTCACTATCCGCATGTTCTGCCCCATGTCTTCTCCGTTCCCCCACCTGTCCCCACATGTCACCTCCCTGCCCCTGCCTCGTCCCCACAGGTGCCCTCCATGCCCTCAACCCTGTGCCCACATGTCCCTTCACCATCCCCACCCTGTTCCCTGCCTTGTCCATATGTGTCCCCTCCATGACCCCAACCCCGTCCCCACGTGGCCCCTCCATGACCCCCACGCTGACCCCAGGGGCCCCTCCATGGCCCCCACCCCGACCCCAGGTGTCCCCTCCATGGCCCTACATGTCCCCTCCATGACCCCACCCTGTGCCCACGTGTCTCCCCATGACCCCACCCTGACCCCAGGTGTCCCCTCCATGGCATTACATGTCCCCTCCATGACCCCACCCTGACCCCAGGTGTCCCCTCCATGGCTCCACCCCGTCCCGCGTGGCCCCCACCCCACCCGCGTCCTCCAGGCTGGGCCCCAGCCTCCTCGGGAAGCCTCTGTCCTCCCTGACTCCTGGCCAGCGCGCCCCTCACTCTGCCCCATCACTGGCGGTGGGGGAGCACCTCTCCGCTGTGCGGCCACAGGACACCTTGCTGCGCCGGCAGGATCGCCTCCCCCTCCCCCCCACCTGCCCTGGGCTCCAACACCACCTCGGAGAAACTGGGACCCCTGCGAGACCCCCGCAAACAGAGGCACCCGTGCGTGGGGGTGGCAGTCCCCTCCCGCCGTCAGAGCCTGAGACCGGGCCGACGCCCCTACCCCCCTGCACCCCACCCCAGCCACCCAGGGGCCCGCACGCCGGGAGGCCCGAGGACCTCCATCCTGACCCCCACTCACAACATCGTCTCCTCGGCTCTGTCACAAGGGCCGTGACGGGCCCCCTCCCCCACCAGTGACGCAGCAGACTGACCATCGCGCGGGGACCCGGGGCCATCCTGGGCTGGGCCCCTTCTAGTCACCCCTGTGGCCCCAGCCTGAGGGCACTGAGAACGTTCTGGCGCCTGGAAGTCCCCTACCTGGGTGGAGGGCTCAGGCGCTCTTAGGGGAGAGGGGGCAGGCCACCCCTCCGGGCGATGGCGCCCTGCCCCGGGCGGTGGCCCCGCCGAATTCCAGCAGGACACTCTCTCGGGGCGTTCAGGGCACTCGGTGCCGAGAGGCCTGTGCTGCCCCCGCCTCCTGCCGCGGCAGGGGTGGTCCTGGCCGCGTGGGGAGCGGCCCGCTGGAGGATCCCACCAGTGCCTCCCTCCTCAGGGAGCAGCCACCTTTGTCCCCCCCTCGCCTGTGGCCCAGGCCACGTGGCCACGGGAGAGCTGGGCCGTCCTTGCCACGCAGGCTGGGGTAAGCTGGGTCAGGACAGGGCTGGCCAGATTCTGGCCCAGGAGAGATGGGATCCCGCAGGGCCCGGGGAGGGGGCCATGGCCAGGGGCCTCATGTCCCCCAGAGACGGCTCCCTGCCGCCCCTCTGCCCACGCGGGGGGGACACCGAGCCCTGGGAAGGAGGGACAAATTTAGCCTCCCCACCCTGGGCCAGGGTGCACTTGTGAAATATGAAAACAGCTGGAGGTACCCGATTAAGCCGCCCTCTCTCCCTCCTGGGCCAGGGCCCATGAGAAGGGGGCGGGGGACCTCCAGAGCCGCCCCAGGAGCCCCCCCCCAGCCCCCGGGCCCTGCCCCGTCTCATCTGCCAGCCTCTTACCCGGGCCACCAGCCTCCGTCATGGCCCGTGGCCTCCTTCCCCTGGCACCCGGGCCCGTCTGGAGGGCCGTGAGTGAGGTTGTCAGCAGTTTGGCTTTGAGTCTAGGGGTTGGCTCTGCATCCACGAGGCAGGCCTCTGACCACGTGGGCTTTGTGCGGTTCTGGAAGGAAACAGTGGTACCGCAGGCTTCCCGGGGCTGAGTCCAGGCCTCGGCCGCTC